GAGCCTACTGAACAAAACAGCCATAGATTTCAGCAGTAGATATCTTCAGGGAGCCAAGTGAGCAGACAGACAAGAAACATGGTTGCAGAGACCAGAGAAAACAAAGGACTGTAGGGACTTGCAGGTTTGGGTTGGAGGCTGCCTTTTTTGGAGAGTAGAGGACCATAGAAACCAACCTCCCTATAGGGTCAGATGCCTCCTTGAAGGAAAACAATGGGTTGAAGGGAATATGAAAGTCTGAACATTTACCAGCTATGACTAAGTTTTAGAAAAAGAATATGCAGAAAGATGATGAGATAGCACTGGTAGGCACTTTGTTTGTGTGTTGATTCATTCAATAAATAGCCATTGACTGTCTCTTATATACCATGCCCTAGGATTCAACAGATCCCAATCCTTGTCTTCCTGTAGTTTACGTTCCAGTAATGGTAGTTCCAAAGTGAAGCTATAGGGAAAGAAGAAAACAGCTTAATTAGAAAAACTAGAGATACTACAAATTTATTTTCACATTTGAATAGCAGTGTGTTATATTTTTAAACCCACAACAATGGGGATGAAAAGTATTCTGGTGGTATGCATAGCCTCATTGTGGTTAAGAAAAGCTAAAAATAACTACAGAGCTTATTCTTGTTTGGACACCAAGTTTAAATAACTTGACATGTTATCACAGGGTCAGTAATAGAGTCATAAAAATTTGGAGCTGGAAAGGATCTTCGAGGTCATGAGGCTGACTTCTTTTTAATATATATATAATTTTTGAAAAAAAATGTTTATTTATTTGACAGAGAGAGTGAGAGAGCACAAACAGGGGGAGCAGCAGAGGGAGAGGGAGAAGCTGGCTCCCTGCTGGAGCAGGGAACCTCACGTGAGGGCTTGGTCCCAGGACCCTGGGGATCATGACCTGAGCCAGCTATAGACAGACACTTAACCAGCTGAGCCAGCCAGGCTCCTCATGAGGCTCAGCTTCATAATTTGATTGCTAAGGAAACTCGTGCAGGGAGTTGAGAAAATTGCCGCTAGAGCTGGATGTAAATACATGTGCCTTGACATTAGTCCAGGGCTCCTTATAATTCAACACTGCTTCCATCTGAATCTTAAGAGCACATATTCATTGATTATTTTGCCTTGATATCAGTAGGTCCTCTCTAGGGTTGGCTGTTGTAAGTACTGGGAACACAATGGGCAATGCAATGATAGATCAGTAAGATTAAGAGGTTCAGAGGATTAAGAGAATAGATACTCATTAGAGTGGTGAGTTGCTCCTTTTCTTTCTCCACAGAATGTGAAATATGGCCCAGAAAGAACCCAGACAACCTGAGTAGCAGAGTTCCCACCAAGGTGACATCCTACTCAGTAGTCATAAAAGCTTGGGTTCAAGAATGAGTCATCTGAATTCAAATCCCAGCTCTACCACCTATGAACTAGCTCTGTAATTAGTTGTGAAACATGTAGCAGGAAATTTGTTTTAAAATGTGGATGAAATGTTGAAGATTACAAATGACTTACTTTGAAAGGATACATTAAATTTAGAGTTAGCTCTATGTGATGCCAGTCTTGTGCACTTATACACAGTAGTTTATTTTGCCTAGTGAGTGGTAAAGGGGCAGAGTTATGGTTGGTTCATAAGGAATAGTTTACACCCTTCTATTTATCTCATGGTAGAATTGACCAAGTGGAGTTCTGCTTACTTGTGATCTCTCTCTCCATCAGATAAATAAATTAAATCTTAAAAAAAAATACATAACTTGTGACATTTTGTTTAATTAAACTGGGTGAAAAAAAGCATACACTTCTCTCAGGCTGATATTTGCCAGACTTAAGTGGTAAAATGATTACCAATAGATAAATTTGTAATCAGTTCTTGGGCTGTCATTAATGTTACATGCTTTTTCTACCATTGCATGCTTTTTGGCACTTACATATAACAAATAGAGCCATAGAATGGAGTAGTAAAATGCGGGGGGAACAAGAGAAAATAAAGCTTACCTATTTTCCAAGATGCTTAAAACAAAATAACATGACACACTTAGTATTCATTTGATTGGGAAAGTCATGGAGCTGATCTATGTTTTTGTCACACACCATGAGTTATGTTGACTACATTAATGTGTTTCAACTGAGCATTTGTACAAATTAAGGAATAATTATTAAGCACCTGTTTTGACAGTCTCTAGCAGTGGTGACTGGGGGAAGGTGTGTGTGTGTGTGTGTGTGTGTGTGTGTGTGTGTGTGTGTGAGAGAGAGAGAGAGAGAGAGAGAGAGGTGTAACCACATGGGAGAGCAGGGAATGCTCCTGAAACTGTTAGGCAAGGTCATATTGAAAGAAAGTTTACTGTAACAGGAAAAATTTAAACACCATTTCTGATCCCTACTCCCAGGAAAAAACTATTCATAATAAATTGTATTTAGTTTATTTTATAGGAGAGTAGGCCTGGTTATTTAGACAATAAATTTTAGTACTTTACACAGTACAATTGTGTTAATTTAAGGAATATATTTTTGTAATTTAAGCAACAATAGTGGAGTCCTTTTATTGAATACTACATTAAAGTTGAATAAGTTAATAAAGCAAACTTTTCTTCCCAATGTTAAATTTAAATGCTCTTTGGTAAAGTTTACAAAAACATTTAAGAAGTACATATTTTTCTTTGTGCCAGGTGAATATTTAACTTCCTGGTATTTTTTATGGCTTTTTAGGTTCTAAGATTGGGTTTAAATATGGTGCTTGATATAAATGGGAAGCTAAGTTTTCTACCTTAATCGCTGAAGAGCAAAAGGAAAATAAACTTAATGCAAGGCAAAAATATTATTTTCCTATAATTAATTTGACAACTTTCAGATTCTGCAGTTGATAATCAAGCCTTTGAGCCTCCAGTTAGATTTTATACTTGGCTTGTCATTTGACCTGTACCTCGGCTAGACGTTTACTAGTATTTGTGTTGCGTTCCTTCTACCCTGTAAGTGAAGAAATCCTCTCATCTTTCTAATTCAAAAGTCAGTAAAATTTTAATTTTGTTATTAACAAAAATTTTTGTTAATAACAAAAAGTTAATTTTTTAAAAGTTGATGAGCTTATTATTCTCTTGGGTTGTCCCTTAGGAGAATTTATGTTAAATTAATAGTAATATAGATACAGAAATCAACTGCCACCCATAAATGCAAAAATACTTCCAGAAGACCTCTGCAGCATGTTATTTCCTACGTGCTTTCCTGTACAAAGAAAGCCAAAGCATATGGTTATAATAATGCATTTATTCCAAAGGTCTGTATATCATTTTGCATATAGATGGTCTCCAGATTTAACTGCAGTATTGCACACATGTCAATTTATGGTTGGATGCTTATTGATGGTGAAGAGAACACTGATTTAGATGTCATTAAGTGAATATATAATATATATTCATTATATGTCATTAAGTGAATAAAATATATAATGTATCTACAGAGATATATACATATAAAATCATCTTTTTATTTATGACTTCTTTATTTATAACTTTACATAATAAATATGTATTTTTTAGAGTATTAGGCCTCATAACTTCTATGCTACTTCCTTAGCAAGAAGCAAACTAATCATGTTTAGAAATAGCATGGTGGTACCATTAAAGCTGGGAAAAAAACATAGAATTCAATGAATGTTATAACCTCATTTTATAAATACAAAAATTGGGGCTCAGATAGGTCAAGAATTTTTCCAACAATGGCCCAGCATTTGCATGTTAGAACTAGGATTAGAACCCACTTATTATTTTTAGTTCAATCCTGTCTCAGAATGATGTCATTAGAAAAATGAAAAAAAAAAAAGGTATGGATTAGAACTGTGCTCAATATAATCAGTGATTTCTTTGTAAGTCTCTTCTTCTTTGTCTTTCCTCTGAAAGGAAGGAAAATAAAAATGTGTTCTTGCTCCTGTGGAGGTATTTGGAGAATGCTAAGAACTACACATTGCAACCATATATAGGTCATATCCTCCTCTCTGTTATACGACCCTTATTTGATCATTCAGCTAAAGGCGTGAGTGTTTCTCAATTTCCCCTGCCTTTACCACACGTATATTTTAAAAACATTTTAATCATGCTTTGAGATGGTTTACTTTATTATATACCAAACTTCTGGCCTGGAACCTCATGATACTATTGACTGAGTAGGAATTTTGTTAGTGAATCAGATATAGGAATGTCTCCAAAATAGGTTATATTAAAATGTGAGGGTTCATCTTATCTGTAACTAGAACTAGAGTTCCTGCAGTGTGAGTGTAAGTCTTTCAAGTAAAACAGTTTTTAATGTCATTTATTTCCAGCTGTTTAAAACTTACCTCTAATACCTATATTTCTTTCTTTTTATTCTTGAAATTCAAATTTGATCATATAGTATAAAAACCTTATGTTCCAAGGGAGTTTGGGGACTTAAAAAAAAAAAGTGTGTGTCTGTGTGTGTTTTCATATCTTTTTTGCAGTGTCTCCTTGGAAAGTCACTCTGGGTACAGACATCTGGGCAAAATGTTGTTGATAGAATTGAGCAATTTTTGTTTTTCTAACTTTTGTAGCTCTGGCCAGCTTCACATCGGCTTCTATCAGTTGAAATGATATCTTTGACTTTAGCAAAGTGTAGGCTATTAGGTCATGAGTGCCAAAAATCAAGAGTGGTCTCCACACTACATCCAGTGTGGATAAAAACAATATTATAAAATAATTAAAATCTTTTGAAGCAGAGCCAGCCACACAGCCTGAGCCCATCTTCCTTCGTTAATTTGTATACAGTTCCTATTTTAACAGAACAAACTTTCAGAGGGTACTCACATGGGACTGCTGAACCAGCTGTACAACTTTTATTTTGAAGAAAAAAGTTGAGCCTCAGAACAGGCTGTTTTAAAGACAGGGAGGGACTTAGCTTTTCCAAGCTTGACCAGCATGTGGAAGGAGTGCTCTCATGGCTGCAAGAACTCAGGGAACTCCTACCTGGGTGCCACTAGGGTAGGAAGTTTTCTGTTTGTTTTGTTCTGTTTCCGAGGGTCCTGTGCACTTCTCTTTCCTGTATCACCGTGACTGTTGGTGGATTTTGCACACCCTGCTCTGTGGGGGAGTGCCCCAACGTGCCTGTCTTATGTGGCCTCTATGGACACACTGCTCAGCTGGCAGAGAGCAGGGAAGTTTTCTCCCAGCACCCAAAAAGAGAAAGAGGAAACTACTTTTTCCTTCTGGGCTTCTTGCAGCACAATAGACCAGGATAAGCTTCCACATTCTCTCCCTGGATTTCTGGAGTGGTTTCCAGGAAGAAGTTCAACTTTTACCTTTAAATGGATGACCATGTCACAATCAGGAAGAAACATCTCCAAAGACCCATCTTTAGGTAAGTAATACTACATCCCAGTTGGTTCCAGGGCTATCAGGAAAAATAATTTCTTTCCCTTATCCTTGACTTGGGAATTCTGGCACTAAGCTACAGCAAAGCAATAGAGTGTATCTAAAGTTTAACTTCATGCATACCTACGGAGTCCCTTTATTTTCTATTTTCTGAAACTGTGCACAAGCTCTTATCAAATCCTCAAAATATATTTTAAAAGCAAATTAGCTATTCAGGCACATGGATGACATAGCACTGGAAAAACTTCTAAAGCATTATGCAATCCCTTGCTGTTTCCAATGGTTGCACAGCCCTCTAAATTGGAAATACTATGCTTGGTTATTTCAACTGATTACACTCAGAGATAGTGTTTCAGTGCTGCAAATGCTATACCTTTTTGCAGTAATATGTGGGAAGATAAATGCGAATTTGATGGCTGTATACTAAAGAAGATATATTTACATCTAGTTCAGGAGTATCTTTATGCAGTTTAGGAAACAAAAGGGCAACAGGAAAAATTTTACCTTGTGGTGAAATCTGTGGCCAGAAAAAATGTAGATACAGTATAATAGATTGAGTTAAGGTTTTCTTTGGGGGGGGATGGCGGCTCACTCTTTCTCCTGAGAATAGCAGTTTCTTCATTGACTCTTTAATCCTCGATTTTTTAGTTACTTACATACTTTAGAATTCAGAATTAGGAATTTAGAATTTTAAAGACGCTAGAAAATCAACACAGTTTCTACCTTTTAAGACAGAAGATCTTAAAAAAAAAATCTAGTTATATATCAATTTTGTGGTTCCCCCAAAATAATATCCTAAACAAAACGGAGATACTACATGTCAGCAACACTAGACATTAAAGTCAAGTTGCAGTCACTGGTTGTTGATCTAGAATTAACTACTGGATAATAGAAGTTTATGGATGGAATTCCTGGCATTCTGCGGTTGTCACATAATGAATAAGAGTGGGCCTCAAGGCATGTTTCGTGTATTGATTAAGCATTGTTACAGTATTATTAATAGCAATAATATACTTTAGTAAAGCTTAAAACAAAATGCTGTCTCAATCTGTTTTACAGCCTTGTAAAAATAATTGGGCTCCTGGGTGGATCATTCAGTTAAAGATCTGCCTTCGGTTCAGGTCGTGATCCCGGGGTCCTTGGATTGAGCCCTGTGGTGATGGCCATGGTGCTGGCTTCCTGCTTAGCGGGGAACCTGCTTGTCCCTCTCCTTCTGCCCAACCCCACCAACACTCCACTTGTGCTCCCTCTCTCTCTCTCCAATAAATAAATCTTTAAAAATCATATTTATATATGTGGATTTAATATCATAATCTGTGTTTACATTTTATGCAGTGACAGCAATAAATAACCAAAAATCCAGAATGACCCCCAAATGTGTATTCACCTGCCATAATTCCCATATAATTAATTTCTATTTTCTCCCAAATCCATTGTGTGACTTCAAAAAGATAGGACAGTAGCACAGATGATTCTAAACTCAACCCCACTGAAGCACCATTAGAAGAGGGCACCCGTGGAAACTGAAGAAGAGAAGATTGTGTTGGATAAAGTCAGATCCACTTAGCCAGTATCTTTAGTATGTTACCCTGCGGAGAAACTGTTGGCAATTGAAGCAGGTGGTCCTGCTCCACTGGTTTTTGGCGAATCCGTATTCCCTCCTGATGAACTGTATGCTAAGGTGCCGCTCACAGGGAAACTGCCGCTCCTCCACGCTTCTGTTCTTTTTCATATAAAGTAACTGGGATTCTTTGCCCAAATAATTAGAATACAGTTTGGTAAATTCAAATAATTACTTCATGATCCTGGTGATGTAGAAGAGAGAACAGAGCTCTCTCTAGTATATACCTAGATAACTGTGGCACAGGCAGATGATGGGTGCCAAAAAGGAGGTGATAATGTCCTGGGAAATTATGATGAGACAGATTTCAATGATGAGCACATACTTTCACTCAGGCAGGTCTTTCAAGCAAGCGTACAAGTGGTCCCTGACTAAAAACAGGTTAAGGCCAGATGTGTAGTTGGGATTGATTGTTCAGTTGGCACATTGATAGATGGCTTTGCTTTTATCGGGATATGATTTTCTTGGGGGAAAAGGGAAGTAGAGAGTATCCTAATAAAGCATTCAAATGACTAGACACAATTCCTCAGAGAAAGTATTGGGCTATTTTTCGGTAAAACACAGCGTTGACTTTCTGATGGCTAGTTGTACTTTTGGGCAAGTTGGGAAGTGGTTGAAGGTTGCCTTTGGCATCTTATGCCCTTATCTGATGCCCCGCTTCATTTTCTTTTTTGGTCTCCTTTCTCTGGTTCTTTGTCTTCCTGGGCTATTACTGGATTGTCCTCCTTTCACATTGAGACAAAACATTCTCAAGCCTGCCTTTCTGGTCAGAGACCCAGGTACCAGACGTTTCCTTCTCAATATGTACTTGTTCACACCCTATTTCCTAAGGGATTTGCATACTAGTTCTCAGTCCACTTGGTAAAAAATTAGTGCTAGACTGTTTTGTATGCGTTAGTCACATGTTTAACAGAAATTTTGTGAAAATAATATTTTGACTGTTTATAAATAATTCACTTAAAATTTTAATCATTAAGAGAGGATAAATCTGGTATTTTTTGGGGAAATATCTGACATACTGACATGATTCAGGTTTTTATATACAGACTACTTTCTCCCGCAGCTTAACCAACAGCTTCAATTCAACTTACCTGGCCTTCTCTGATTGATTAAAAGTGTCCAGAATTTGGACTACTGCACCTGGGGAGGTCTGACATGATAAAGAAAAACAAACTGTATCTGCCTTCACATAACATGTCATCTAGTAGTATTTACCTAGATAACTATGGCACAGCAGATGATGGGTGCCAAAAAGGAGGTGATAATGAGACAGATTTCAATGATGACTAATTCTGACACCTAAGTGAACTGAGAGAGATAAGCAAGATTTAAAAAAAAAAATCTGAAACTGAATAGACATCAATTTTTAATTATTTTTAATTAAATTTTAAATTAAATTATATTTAAATTTTTTTAATTTAATTGACTAAATTTCAGACAAGAAAAGTCATCCATCAAGTATAAAAAGTTAGTGGAGAGGCTTTAGAGTAGACAGTGGATGTTGAAATTCCATGGCTGCATATGATATCAGAAGACTTGAGAAATCTTACATATTCTTTAGATTCTGCATCAAAAAATGTCAGTATCTCCTACAATGGTGATTCCTGAATCATCTCACATAGGTTAGCTAATCTGTTTTAAAGTCTTTTGTGGAAATTTTAGGTATATATTTTCACACCAGGTCTGTGAGGAAAGGAAAAGGCAAAATTTTTGTTTGTTTGTTTGTTTGTTTTTATTGTTTTTATATGGCCAAAATGGAAGTTTATATGATCTCTATTATGCATGTCATGTGGAACTTGGGATCAGTGACACTGACCATTCAGCTCCGAGAATGTATAAATGGTGTATCTCAAACACAATTTGTGGTTTTGCCTGTAGACATTCCCGCAGCTCAGAATTATATATAAAAATGATGATTCTCCCATTACTCAAGAGAAATTCTTTAGGTTTTATAATTTTTTTTAAGATTTTATTTATTTATTTGACAGAGAGAGAGACAGATCACAAGTAGGCAGAGAGGCAGGCAGAGAGAGAGAGGGAAGCAGACTCCCCGAGCAGAGAGCCCGATGCGGGGCTCGACCCCAGGACCCTGAGATCATGACCTGAGCCGAAGGCAGAGGCTTAACTCATTGAGCCACCCAGGCACCCCTAGGTTTTATAATTTTACAGGAAGGAAACACTATCACAAAATGTATATTAATGTGTTTTAAATCAACAACACTAAGTTTGTTCTTCAGCACATAGAAAATAAAATTACATAAAACTTTAAAGTCCAAGATGTGAATAAACATTGTCATTAAAGACTTCCCAAAGAAAAAGAAACAGTCTTTTAGACTTTTTAAAACCCCTTTTTCTGTGTTACCACAGAGTTTTATCTCTGGTAATCATAATTGATCTCTTTACATAAATAGATTCATCAGTTTATAATCCATTTAAATGAATTACCTTTATATAACTTCAGTAAGACTGTTGCTGAAGGCACTTCCATCTTATTACATATTCATATTGCTTAGCAAACTTTCTTTATTCCCATGGGATAAATAAACATTTAGCTTTGATATCAAGAAAAATCTCTTTCTCCTAATAAAGTGCATCAGTGGGAATATTTCTTATCTGAATTTCATTGCCATGAAGTTGAAGTCTGGGTTTCTGTTATTATCAGCTCCTCCTATTTGATATAATATTTTATCAAATTCTATTATATGTGCATTGTTTTCCATTTGTTGCTTCAAATTCTTTCCAGGAGTAGGTAAGGAAAAAATGAATTAAAAAAATAAATTGGAACTTTTCTCGTGTGTTAAGCCTTATTTAGTATTCTTTGATGCCAGCAGTCTGTTGAACCTCTTCTGTGTTCAAAATGGATAAGTTATTTTTGTGGTGGCTTTCCATTAGAAAGAGCACTAAAAAGTCACAAAAGAAATCATGCAAATAGTGGTTCATCAGCCCTAGATTTGAGACCTGGTCTATGCATCCAGGATCTGAGACGTTGAAGTGCAAGTCAGATTGCTGCCAGGCCCTCAGACTAATGAAAATCATGTTGAGCTCTTCACAGCATTTAGAACATGCTGTTTCTTCCCTTTATGCCTTTTCGAAAGTCTTATTTTTACAAGTATCTGTTAGCAGAGGAATTCTGAGTGTGCTTTTGGCAGGCGTAGTCTCTTCACATGGAGATGGAGAAAGCCGAAGGATTAAATAAGAAAGCATAGGAAAAGACAGATCCTAGTTTTCTTTGCTGTGAAAACTAGCAAACTCTATTGCTGTGCCTGATTTCTAATTTCAAGGGTGTGATCTATGCTTTACAGAAGAATAGCATACAATATATGTTACATATTTAATATCATATACCTTTTGGAGTGTAGTCGTTT